AGGGCCGGCGCGCGGCGTGCGCGGCCGTGCTGCTGACGGAGCTGCTGGAGCGCGCCGCCTTCTACGGCGTCACGGCCAACCTGGTGCTGTTCCTCAACGGCACGGCGTTCGGCTGGGAGGGCGCGCAGGCCAGCCAGGCGCTGCTGCTCTTCATGGGCCTCACCTACCTGGTGTCGCCGTTCGGGGGCTGGCTCGCCGATGCGCGGCTCGGCCGGGCGCGCGCCATCCTGCTCAGCCTGGCGCTCTACCTACTCGGCATGCTGGCCTTTCCGCTGCTGGCCGCGCCCGCCACTCGCACGGCGCTCTGCGGGGCCCCCCGCCCCACGCGCGTCCGCAACTGCTCGGCGCAGCCGTGTGCCGACGCGCCTGCCCGCTACTGCGCGCCCGCCGCGCTGTCAGCGCTCGCGCTCGTGGGCCTGGGCGTGGGCACCGTCAAGGCCAACATCACGCCCTTCGGCGCCGACCAGGTGAGGGCCGCACAGGTGCGGGGCGAGGGGACGGGGTCGCCCGCGGACCAGGAAACCCAAATACAGCGGGGGACCGCGCAGGGTGGGCGCTGGCGCGTGGGGGCTGCAGACCGAGGGGCCTCCTTCCTTTAGGAGGGGGCCTTTAGGAGTTGGGGGGGGCTTTAGGAGTTGAGACCTGGGGGAGAGCAGAGAGGTTTCTGGACTGGGCCTCCTCAAGTGCAAAGGCCCTGGGGCCAGAAGAGAGGGACGCTGCAGCTACCGTGGCAGTCGTGTTGCAGTACAGAACACATCAGTGTACCAAGTCTGCACGTACTGTACGCCTTAAACTTCCGGAAGGTTATGCGACAAGTATGTTTCAAACAAAAGGAGAAGTGGGAACAGGGGTGGCAGGCAGGTGCTTTGTGATGTGAAGCTTTGTAGAGTTTGAGGTCTGTTTTGAATACAGTAGAGAGCCTTTTTTGGGGTTTGAGCAGGGGGTATGTGATCTGATTTATGTTTCTAAAAAATTCATTCCCTGTAGGGCGTGGGCCTGGCAGCTGTGGCCTGCCAGCCAAATCTGGTCTACTTCCTGTTTTTGGAGGGCCCACAAGCTAAGAATAAGACTGGTACTTAGGTTTTTGAACGATAGGAAAAAAGTAAAAAGAATATGTTTGTGGCAAATGAAAATGAGAGGAAACTCAAATTTCAGCTTCCACAAATAAAGCTTTATTGGAACACAGCCCTGCACCTTCCTGGTCACATATGCTGGGGCAGCTTTCACAGTACGGTAGCAGAATCAAGTAGCTGTGACAGACTGAACGTCACTTAAAATTTAAACTATTTACACCCTGCCCCTTCACAGAAAAAGTTTGCGGACGTCGGGTATAGAGACTAGGTTGCATGGGAAGTGCTGACAGCAGACAGATTAGGTAGGAGTCTGTTTCACTGGCCAGGTGAGAGATTAGAGGTTTGCACTAGGACGGGGGCAGTGGACATGGAGTGAAGTGGTCGATTCAGGATAAGTTATGGAGGTAGAGAGGCCGGGATTGCTGGTGGATCTTACGCAAGCAACAGGGAAGATAACTCCTGGGTTTTTGTGCTAAGTAGCCATGTGATTGTGAACATTTACGAAGGGCTTACTGTGCATCAGGCCCCGTGCCGAGTACTTTTGTCAGTTCATAGGACTCCTCTGCTGTTACCGAGCCCATTTTACAGATGAGGAAACTGGGGCTTGAGAGGTTAAATCATTTGCCCAAAGATACAGAGCTAGTATGTGACTGAGCCAGGGTGCAAGAGCCTGGCCTCTGAATCTGAACTTTAATCACCCCTGTGAAAGGCGACACCTTATAACGATGTTGGAAATAATAGTTGCCTAATGCCCTGAATTCTTCACTTCCTTCTCTGCACCATGGAATGTGGTTTCCATACGTGAACTCATTTGAATCTCATGTGAATCTTATACCCATGTTTTAAATGAGGAAATGGAGGTGCAAAAAGATTTATTTCTTTTGTTGTCCTATAGGTAGTGAGTGGTCAAGCCAGGGTTTAGGTGCAGGTCTGATTTCTTAATGTGTCCTTTAACTGAGGTGGGCATTCTGTGACGGCTTTGGCCTTCGGGGTGCCGGCAGCTCACGGGCCAACCGCAAAGGCACAGGACTGGGATTACCCATCTTTAAAGACCAGGCCACAGGACTAAAGTGCGCCCTGAGTGTTTAGGTTGTGCCCCGTAGTGTACCGAGCGCTCGCACTCTTCCTATGCGATCTTATCTAACACCTCGCAACAATTTATATCCCGAATTGTCCCTGTTTTACAGTAAACGGAGGCTTGGGCGGTTTGACCTACCCAGGTCCACAGCACGTGAGTGGAGGAGCTGGGTTTAAACCCAGAAAGTCTGACTTAAAAATTCCTGCTCTCCAGTAGATAATAGACGAGGGATTAATATTCCTGAAAAGAATGAGTGGTTCTGTAGAGGTTCTCTAGAAGGCACGACAGAATTTGCGCTCTTCTGATGTGTAATTAGATGTGGACCTTAAAAAGAAACGTGCTCTTCTGCAAGAGAACTGACCTCATCTTCTCTAACGTGACACTGCCATGGAAAAAGGAGAGCCGCTCTATGTTGAAGGCTGTCAGAGAGACTTGACAGCCAAACACAGCATGTGCTTCGTGATTGGAGCCCAGCTTTTCTAAAAGCCATTTACTGGAACGATCGTGATAACTTGATTATAGACCACGTATTAGATAAAGTTGCATTGGTGTCAATTTTCTTAGGTGTGGTAATGGTTTGTGTTATGTAGAAGGATGGCCTTGTTTTTAGGAGATTCATGATGAAATCTTTGGGGTGAAATAATGGTGCTGTAACTTATTTTTAAATGGTTCAGCCAAAAGAGTGTTTCATGTATATACAGAAAAAGAGCTGAGGCTGTAAATGAAGGCTGTAGAAGTGTATGCTTTACTATTCTTTCAACTTTTCTGTACGTTAAAAATTTTTTTTACTAAAATGTTAAGGGGATATCCATCAACTGATGGGTGGATAAAGCACGTGTGCTGTCTCCATACAGTGAAATATCCTTCAGCAGCAGAAAGGGTTGATGTACCTTCTCCAACGTGGATGAACCTTGAAAACATCATGTGCCACTGACAGGTGCCAGGCACAAAACACGGCATGTTATATGCTCCACTTATGCGAAGTGTCCAGAATAGACAGATCCATAAAGACGAGGGGGTTAGTGGTTGCCAGGAGTCAGGAGAGGGGAAAGGGAAGCTACCATAAGAGGAAGTTTCTTTTTGGTGTGACAGGAAATGTGGAATTGGATAGAGGTGATGGTTGCACATCTGTGAATAGACCGAAAACCACTGAGTGGTACATTTCAACAGGGTGAATTTTTTATTATGAGAATTGTATCTCAGTGAAAAAGACACGTAAAAGGAAAATATTAGTACCCTTCAGCCAAGGTGCTTGCTCTGTGCCAGGTGCCGGCTGGTCTTTGAAGGGGATTTGAGAGGCATCCCCCAGAGGTGCCGCGGCTTGCGGGATCTCAGTTCCCAGACCAGGGATTGAACCCGGGCCACGACAGTGAAAGCACCGAATCCTAACCACGAGGCCACCAGGGAATCCTAACCACTAAGCTACCAGGGAACTCCCAGGATGATATCTTTTCTTTAATTGAAGTGTAGTTGATTTACAGTGTCGTGTTAGTTTCATGTGTACAGCAAAGTGACCCAGTTATACATTTATATACGTTCTTTTTCAGATTCTCTTTCTTTATAGGTTATACAAGATATTGAATATAGTTCCCTGTGCTACACAGTAGGACCTTGTTGGTTATTTTATATATAGTAGTGTGTTACCTATTAATCCCAAGTTCCCAATTTATCCCTCCCCCAGCTCTCCCCTTTGGTAACCATAAGATTGTTTTCTATGTCTGTGAGTCTGTTTTGGAAATAAGTTCAGTTGTGCCATATTTTAGATTCCACATATAAGTGATATCACATGGTATCTGTCTTTCTCTGTCTGACTTATTCACTTAGTATGATCACCTCTAGGTCCATCCATGTTGCTGCAAATGGCACTTCATTCTTTTTTATGGCTGAGTAATACCTTGAAGGTACCTTTATGCTTCTCTATCACTGACGCCTTTGTCTGCGATACAGGGCCTCTAGGAGGCCCTCTGAGTGAGAGATGAATGGGGTCATGCTGTGCAGCCCTGAGAAGGAGGCCTTAGCTGACTTTTGAAGGAAGATGCACACCAGAGTCCGGGGGTGATACTGATGTAAATCATGTCAGCCCCATCTTTTCCCCGGAGTGATTAACCTTCCTCAAAGGTCACAGTCATTCTAAATGGATGGCTCCTGTAGTTGAACGAGTGAACTGAAAGAACTCTTTTTTACAGACAAAGAGAGCAAAGATACATTTTTTCTAGAGGGGAAAAAAAAAGTTGCGCTGTTAGGTGTTTAAAGGAATTTTTCCAAATCAGCCAACTGTCTGACTCACTCCCCAGGATCCTGTTCCTTTAGCTGCACTTCTCTGAGTTGACCGCAGCAGTGTCTTTTGACCGGTCATATGATGGTCCTGTTTACCCTTGGTCGCATAGAGCTGGAGGCAGGTGTACAGATGGTGACGTAATGTGACCCACATGAAGTGCGGGTGTCAGTCCAGGGCATGGAGGCATGTGACTTGCGGTTTATAGGAGCCAGCAGGCTCCTGTAAGAAAATTACTGCTATGTGGTTATTTAGGGTCTAGTAATAGGCTTAGGTTCCTGAAGTAATTTTAGTGAATTACACTTGGAAGTTCAAATAAGTCGACTGCCAAGTT